GTACTCTGCAGACCTCCCAAAAATGGGTCCGGGGTTTTTTTTTCTTCCAAAAAAGGGGATGAATAGCCTTTAGGAGGCTTGTAGAGTGCTCCTGGGGGCTGGGGGAGGGCAAATTGAGCAAAAATCGGCCTGTTTTTCGCTCATTTCTGCCCCCAGCCCCCAGGAGCACTCTAAAAGCCTCCTAAAGGCTATGCATGGCCGTTTTGGTGAAGGGGTCAGGAGTTTGGGAGGCAAAAAAATGCTGCATTCAGTGTATAAGACGCACCCAGATTTTCAGCCTCTTTTTTGAGGTGGAAAAGGTGTGTCTTATACTCCGAAAAATACGGTACTTTATGCACAAAAATGGAAGGACATTTCGATCCCCATAATGGATGAATGGCTGCGAACGTTTTATGGAATTAGCAAAGATAGCTATATTTGGATCAAAGAAAAGTATGTAAGTGCTTATAAATTTCGGTTCCACCACAAATCCGCGAAGCCCTTATCCGCGGAGACATAAGCACAAAGACTAATTCGCACCGTTCAAAGCGCTAAGGAAAAACGCGACCCTACCGCGATGACATAATCGCAGAGGGCAAATCCACGCATTCCCAAGCACTCAGTACTCTAAACCTAACCCTAAACCTAACCCTAAACCTAACCCTAACCCTTACCTTAATTGAAATCGGCTTTCTGCCACGGCGCCATTTTAAAGCGCCCTTCTGTTGCCGCGCTGTCGTGGCGGTGATGACGTCGCGGCTTTAGTGACGCGCTTATGACTCCGCGGATAAGGGCTTCGCGGTTTTGTCGTGCCACGATAAATTTCTACTTGGAAACCCTTTCTGGACTTTATGCTTGAGGTGGGAATGAAACTTTGATTTGGGGTTTTACTGATTAGATTGATTGGTCGTTCTAGAAATGGCTAGGTTATACTATTATGGAAAAGTAAAAAAATGACCTTTGATGTTACTGTTTATTCTACTTTTCTTTCTTTTTCCCTTCTTTTCTACACTTCTCCCTTCCCTTTTCCTATTTTTCCTATTATTTTCTTTTGTATTTTTATAATATAAATTAATATAAGACAGCATCTATATTTCCTGCGTTGGATGAGGAGAACAGATCTTTTTTCTTCTGTCCTAAGCACTTTTTACAGGCGCAAGATTGAGAGCGTTTTAACAAACTGCTTCTCTGTTCGGTTTGGTAGCAGCAGGGCCTCAGATAGAAAGTCCCTACAGAGAGTAGTGAGGACAACCAAGAAGGTTATAGGAAACTCGTTTCCCATCGTTCAGGATGCTGCTTATAAGCGCTATGGGCTTAGAGCTCGAAGTGTTAGAGAACCCGCACACCCCACTTTACGGTGGGGTGTTTCCGTTGCTCCCCTCTGGGAGGAAGCCCCAATCCAGCACCTGAGCAAGAGGCACATCGCTCGGCAGCCGTTCCTGGATGTCTCGAACCCACTGCATGGGAACACGGAGCGGGGAGAAATCTGTCACTACCCCGCCAATGACGTGTTGGGTCACAAAGCGAGGCAGCGTGTCTTTCGCGAAACCGACCAGCAAGTGGAAAGGGATGTCGAGGAGTTGACACTCCTGCAAAATGGGGAAAAAAACAGATTGTCATCAATACAACACCCTGTGCGCCACAGCAAGGAGAACCTGTTCGTTTGACTGTTGTAACGATTCAAAATTATGACAGCCTACAGTCGAGCCCAAAATTCCCATTGCTACGGAAGATAATTCTCCAGTGAAATTTGCCTCATTTTACGACCTCTTTTGCGGTCATTAAGTAAATCATGCAGTCGTTAAGTGAATCTGACCCTGTTAGTAACTTGGCTATTGTAGTGATTCACTTAACAGCCACGCCAAGAAAGATCGTCAAACGGGACAAAACGCACATATCAACTGTCTCGCTTAGCGGCGGAAATTTTGGGCTCCACTGTAGTCGTAAAACGAGGACTATCTATACCATTCTGTTGCTCTGAATCCACAGAGCGGGGGTAACAATAAGCTTTTACCCTCCCTGCGCCCGCAATGACACACAACACACACACACACAAACACACACACACACACACACATATCCCGCGCCAGTACCTCAGCAACTTCCTCCAGGCCTCTGAGCATAAAACCGAAGTGGCGGATGGTGGCATCCAGGAATTTGGGCACCAGGCAGAAGCAAACATGTAGCGGGAGGCGCTGTTTTAACGCCAGGCGCTGGGCGTAAAGGAAAGCCCAATTATCTGCAAGAAGGACACACAGGGGAGAACCATCATGGATCATTTATCTTTCAGCGACCTCATAATCCCTTGCGGGTTGGAGTGTGGGCAACTGAATGGAACCATGTGTTTTGTGGCCAGATGCCTTTCCCGTTGCCAATGAGGAGTTTTGTTCAGCAGGCCATCGCACCACTCTAAGGGTGGGAAACAAGGAGATAGGGGTGCTAATTCTGCTGAGATCTCTTTGGGATTCAAAATCCATCCTGCTAAACCCCGAAAACAGGTTTAACGGAAGAAAGGGGTTGATCCAGTTGTGGGGACCTGTCCTTCCCTCGGGAACTGGACCAATCCCCATTGAGTAGTTTTCACCAAGCGGGATTTACTTCTTTTTTTAATATATGTATTAATATATATTTTTATTTACAAAACAAACATACAAATCCTTCTTCTTTACATACTGTAGAAAGTGTACCAGTTGGTTACAAAAGGCTTTTGTGCATCTCTTCCACCGTCATCAAATATAATTCATATTAA